TATAAAGTAATGGTAAGCGCTTCAAATTTCAGAAACGGCGTTAATTTTCCAACTCCGGAAATGTAATTCTTAAGATTGCGGTAATATTATACCACACGTAACAAAAATTATCGCATTGCAATAAAATTTCTTTTTCTCACTGCATTACAGCTTATTACAGCCTATATAAAAAAAAGAATCTGTGGAATTTTTTTCTTTTCAATCAAAACCATTCTACCCATCTCTCACTTTGAATTTTTCGTGACCAATTATATTTCCAAATAGAAAATACCAACACTGTTCCGAATTTTCTGGGCACAACAGAAAAACCAAATATTGATTGTAATTAGTTGACTGTCAAAAACAGGAGTTATCGATGACAATGAGATAATTAATTTTTTGGTGGTTTGTAAAGTTTTGTAAAGGTGGAAATTCTGGGAAGGTGGAAGGGGTGCTCAAGAAGTTCTCAATAAATTTTTTTCGTAGAAAATGATAAACTTTACTATTTAATCTCTCATTTTTTCCTAGAACTTCAGAGAAATGTTATTCAAATGATTTTACAGCCCACGATGACGTGACTATTAATATTAATTTCCGATATTTTTCTCTCTTTAAAATGGATAAATACCAGATGCCAGACTCGAAAATTTTCCAGTGCCTTTTTTTCTAACCCGGAAGATTCGCGACTTGACCGTTCGTAAAACAGCATTATAGATTCATCATGGCTTCAAGATTTATCCTATTATTATTAACAATTGTAGCAACTCTTTCAGGTAAGAGCTAAATAACAATTATCATTATGAGAATTTATCTTTCCACATATGTCCAATATCTTGACCATCTCAAATGAAATTTCGATTGCCTATTTCTGCCAGTGAAATAATAAATAGATATCCATATGGATGCGATTTGGTTCGTGTACCATCGCACCTAATCGGTGAATATTTATCAAAATAATTAACTAATCAACAAAAAAATTGGCATCAGAATAGGAACATCCGAAATTCATTTGGCTGATGATGTCTCTATCGTTTCCAAATAATCAAATCCCATTAATAATAATCTGTACCGAAGTTTTTCTGCCACGGACAATTCACCAGGACTAGCCTATTAACAGTAATGATAAACTATTTTCAGAAGTGAAGAGCGAGAACTGGGCATTACCGGTTGCCTTGGGGCAGTTTCCTTTCATTGCAATCATTAGATACAGTAATGGGCCGGTTGCCATTGGGGCCCTGATCGCTCGACGCCTGGTTTTAGGGTCTGCCGCCCATATGTTTCGCAGGCCTGTAAGCATTATGATCCAATTGGGATGCATATCAGTGCGCAATTGTTATACTCCACAGATCCCAGTTTCTGAAGATTACGATGAGACATACCCTACACTTATCATTTTTAGGGTAAGTTTTTAGGGTGGTGGTAAGCCCTAATAATGAACAAGAATGATTATGTCGAGATGATATAGATGATTGTGGCACTGTACGAGTCACTTCCCGCACGATTTGTGCAAAAAAAAAAATTAATGTTTGCATGATTTTTTAGGAAAGTTTTTATATTTCATGCTATTATATCCGTATTTTCATAGCGGAAACCACCACTTCTTCCATTTTCATTTTTTCATATTTTTTCAGCTCATGGCGGAGGCCGAATTGAGTGACACGATTCGAATAATTCCATTCGCTCCTCCAAGAGATTATAGTAACTTAATGTGTGAATACGTGGGGTTGAATGGACGTAATGGCATCATATACTGGATGCCAGTGAGGCTTTCCGATC